TTTCCAGCACAGAAGTTTTGAGAAAGGCGTATGTCTGAATAAGTACTCTTTAGCCCTGGCAGTAGTTAAATGCGTCTTGGATTTATTGGTGCTTGTTTATTTGTTTAAAGACGTCATGAGACTTCATCCTATACTCAAATAATTTATCCACTCTGTAATATACTGCTGGTCCTGCAGGCTGTTATAAACTATAAGAGGATGTCTCTGACTCCATTTTGACTAGTAAAACGAGCTGACTTGAGCTCAGTGCAAAGGGTTTTTGAATTGAGAGAATTTTCTAAAGAAGATCCATAAAGTCTTATACAATGACAAGGGGATTTTGCAGCCTATTTCTAAGTTATTTCTGAAAGCATTCCATGGCAAACAGGAAGTGATCCTCAATACTCAATCATTTACAGTTCATCAGCCAAAGAAGATGCAAGATGGCAAGTGATGGACTATGTGCCTTAAGAAGTATGTACACAGAATTTAACCTTGTAAAAAGTCACATCAATTCTTTCTGATCCTTTTAGGATCCAGGAAGGGACTTCTGGATTAATTCACCACCATAAGCCATTGTATTGTAGCTACAATCTCTAAAGCCTACAGACTTACTCTTCTAGGGCCCTACCAAGTTCAAGAACATCTGCAGGTCAGGTTCCCCTGCTGAATATTTTTAAAGCAGCATCCTTGTCTTCATCAAGGACATATCTCGGACACTACTGCCTGGATGTGGTGGGGGATTTTTGAGGTCAGTTTGGCAGAAATGTTATTGAATCTAAATAGAATTATAATTTTCTTCTGCATTCTACATGTGTATTGTATTTAGACCTCAGTCTTCCGGTCAATAGGCCAAGAGGTCCTCATCTAATTTTATTTTTGTCTGTCCTCTGATCTAAGATGAGAAGAGCTATCCATAGTAAACAATGCTATGAAAACCTAGCTGGAAAATTAAAATTACAGTAAGTAAATAATAAATTTACTTTTTTTTATCCAGTGAAACATTTCTTAAATAAATAATGACTATTCTACCTTAAAAAGTGATAAATAGAGATAAACAACTAATTATAGTTGTAGGAATAGTTTACATGGTGAGATAAATATTTAAAATGAGTTATATCATAGAATATAAATATTGAAAGAAAACTGAGTACAAACTGAGTACTTTCCATGTTCAAAATGTCTTTTTTACACCTTTATACTAGCCTATGCAAAAAGCTGAAATTTTTTAAAATCTAGCACATGGCATGATCATCAGGCACACAAAGAAATCACTTGATTTCATGATTTCCTAATAATTACCTTAGGTCTGTTTGTTTAAACATTAGTATAGGTTTATTAATATACATCAACATCTGCCGGGAACATTCAATATTGTGCATAATATGGTCAATTAAAAGCTAATACTTCAAATGCCCACAACAAAGAAATTAAATGTTATCTAAAGAAATTATTCCGCTAATTTATTACATATAAATCAATGCCATTTCAGTCATAATTCATCCATGTTTAGAGGTTCAAACTTAAATAATAATGGAACTGGGGTAATTAGCATTTATATAGAGAGACTGGGAAGAGAGAGGAGAGAAAGGAGGGAGAAGAGGAAAGGTTTGAGAGATAGGGGACAAGAGTGTGAGACAGAACTGGGATAATTGCCACTACTCCATGCTATATGGACACTTTTACTGAGATACTAAATTGACTGAGATACTAAATAATGGATATACCTGAATAGTAACGACTCACTATTTTTCCACTATGAAGACACAAAAAGAAACCTGACTGTGTCCATAATGTAAGCAGATACAACCTTGTTATTACTCTGAGGCTCAAAATAACCAGTGAGAGCAATTAACTATTGGCAAAGCTAACTTCTATTGTGCCTACATTCAGTTTCATTGCTAAGGACACTACATTAAAAAATATTTTTGGAGAAGATGAATGTACAACATTCACAAAATACACCCCAACATGCCAAAAACGGAGACATACCGCATAACTCCCCAAAAAAACTAACACCCTTATTCACTAAAGTGAGAATTCAAAGATAAGTTTATATTTCAGGACAAAATAGTCAAAAATTCTCTAAGTCAGCAATGGTTTTAGCTACTCTGAGCTTCACTTTGAATTCTCACTTTAGTAACTAACTCTGTGAGAGTCTCCAGGTATACCTCGTCTATATAGATCCTTTTAAAACAGATGCTGAAAACATCCTGGCACTACAGGGAGTGCAGAATTATTAGGCAAGTTGTATTTTTGAGGATTAATTTTATTATTGAACAACAACCATGTTCTCAATGAACCCAAAAAACTCATTAATATCAAAGCTGAATATTTTTGGAAGTAGTTTTTAGTTTGTTTTTAGTTTTAGCTATGTTAGGGGGATATCTGTGTGTGCAGGTGACTATTACTGTGCATAATTATTAGGCAACTTAACAAAAAACAAATATATACCCATTTCAATTATTTATTATTACCAGTGAAACCAATATAACATCTCAACATTCACAAATATACATTTCTGACATTCAAAAACAAAACAAAAACAAATCAGTGACCAATATAGCCACCTTTCTTTGCAAGGACACTCAAAAGCCTGCCATCCATGGATTCTGTCAGTGTTTTGATCTGTTCACCATCAACATTGCGTGCAGCAGCAACCACAGCCTCCCAGACACTGTTCAGAGAGGTGTACTGTTTTCCCTCCTTGTAAATCTCACATTTGATGATGGACCACAGGTTCTCAATGGGGTTCAGATCAGGTGAACAAGGAGGCCATGTCATTAGATTTTCTTCTTTTATACCCTTTCTTGCCAGCCACGCTGTGGAGTACTTGGACGCGTGTGATGGAGCATTGTCCTGCATGAAAATCATGTTTTTCTTGAAGGATGCAGACTTCTTCCTGTACCACTGCTTGAAGAAGGTGTCTTCCAGGAACTGGCAGTAGGACTGGGAGTTGAGCTTGACTCCATCCTCAACCCGAAAAGGCCCCACAAGCTCATCTTTGATGATACCAGCCCAAACCAGTACTCCACCTCCACCTTGCTGGCGTCTGAGTCGGACTGGAGCTCTCTGCCCTTTACCAATCCAGCCACGGGCCCATCCATCTGGCCCATCAAGACTCACTCTCATTTCATCAGTCCATAAAACCTTAGAAAAATCAGTCTTGAGATATTTCTTGGCCCAGTCTTGACGTTTCAGCTTGTGTGTCTTGTTCAGTGGTGGTCGTCTTTCAGCCTTTCTTACCTTGGCCATGTCTCTGAGTATTGCACACCTTGTGCTTTTGGGCACTTGTAATAAGTGGGGGGATGTGATTAACAGCCAAACTGTATGCCAATGAAGTGTTATTGTGTTCTAATACAGGGATTCAAGCCCCCATTCTACCCTTAGGCAATAATGGAGTCCTCTGTGTAGCACATGGCCTTTCACCAGGCAAAATCAGTTGGTTTGTTGATAAACTCCTCCTCCATTCCCTTCCAATGCAATACCCCTTCCCCCAGGAGGCACTCTGGTTCTGTTACATCCTAAGGGATTGACTAAGGGAGGTGTGTCCAGCAGAAGGAGGGGCTAACCTGTTTAAAGCCCTGTGAATAGCACATTCTCTCTCTCTTTGAATTACCTCTCTTCACCTTCTCTCTCCTCTCTCCCCTCTCCCCACTATACACACCCTCTCTCTCTTACTCTCAGCTGCTGATCAATGGAGTGGTAACTGTATCACGTGTCTATGCCTGTTTTATTATGTTAATTTAGCCTACTTTCCATTCAGTCAATGTTAGTTTTAGTAGCAACATATACTAGCCTATTTTAAATGTATATGTATTGTTTATTTGTTTGATTAAGCCTTTATTAATAAATATTATTGAATTGCCGAAAGCAAGGAGTGTGGACTCTGACTTTACACTCGGGTTTTAAGTTATTATTTTAAGTTATTATTTTTAGTTATTAATGTTATTATTAATTCCAAGTTTATTCCAACTTGCGAGTTAAACGTTTATTACATTTGGCGAGCCATGTTATTATTTTCTACCACCTTTTAAGCTCACTTGCAAGGGGGGAACAATCCAGTCTTCTCCAGATACATGTGAGCTATAAAAGGGGACAAAATAACCGAACCAATTTTTGTTTTATTTTTTGTGAGCGTTTTCGGCAATACGTCCAGGGCCAGAGGCAACCAGAGTGAGACGCAGTTTGTAAGCCGGCCATCACTTCTGGAGGATCGGAGATAGCCAGACCAAGGATTCAAAGTGGGGTGCACACCATTTGATTTGCCTGCAGTCTGAAGACACAAATCGTGTAAGTACTTTTAGCTTTATTTTAAGAATGGAAATTGTAGCAGAATATGCAGCGTCTAGCAGTTTTGATCCACTAATGTTTGAAAATGAAAATGAATTTAAGAAAATGCATAGCATGTGGTTACAATGCGAAAAAGAGAATGTGAGAGTAGATAATAAAAAATGGTGTTTGAATAAGGATAAACAGAAAATCCAAAATTGCATGAAATTGTTGCTGTTATTAAGAAATCAATTAAATCGGATACTTCTGGGGCACACTACTGTGGCTTGTATACAAAGTAGTACTCAGAAATATAGTGATTGTCCAACTTGTGGCTTAAATGCAGAATATGTAAGTACATTAGAGGACAATTATGAAGCGAGAGGAGAGCTAATTTCATCGCTTAGAACAGGTTTAGCTGCACAAACCCCAGTTGCTGTATGTGGCCATGGGGATATGTGTGCAGAGGAAGAAGAGGCATCTGGTATTGCAGAAAATGAGGACCAAGGGGTAAACAGGGGAAACCTTGTACTGGATGGGTTTGATATTAGTGGTATTCCGGTATTAACCCCCCATATAACTAAACCAACAGCATCACCTTTTAGGGACCCTTTGTCCATTACACCGACTGTTAAAAGCAGGGCATCTGCCACCCTGCAGACTGCTAAAATTCTGCAGCAGCAAGATAGGGATAAAGTAATGAAACAGCTTGTTAAGTTAAGATCCCTTTTCCCCCCATATGACTGCAAAATAGATGTAATTTCAAACATGTCCAACTTTGAATCTGCAGTCAAACAATATATGCTCTCTCCTAAAGAGGCATGTATTATGCTTAAAATGTGGGCACCAAGCAGCATTGCATGCAGATTAAATTCCCCCATAAATGGGCCCATTAATCGGGATCAAGATTGGTTCAAAGAGGACAAATGGGGGACAGAAGGAGACAGGCTTAGAGCAATCTCCAAATTGATTACCGGAGAAAGAGATTTAGACAGTCATTTACTCGCTGAAATGAAGGTACACTTACAGGATGATCCTTGGCTTTTTGCATGTAAATTTGAACAAGTGTACAGATTAACCCACCGTATACCACAAGACCAAACCCCTCCTGATTTACTGCAATACCTGATAAAAAAATTCACTTATTTAGATCCCGGAGTGCAAATGATAGCAGAGGAAAAAGACACTCTGGAAGGAGTTCTAACTATTATAGGAAAAGCTAGACAAAATTTAATTAAGAAAGGTGTTACATTACACCACAAGGTGGCAATTATGGCTACTAATGAAGGGAGGCAAGCTCTCCCAGAGATTCCATTCAGAGGTACTTGTTATTATTGCAACAAAAGTGGTCATAGACAAAAAGATTGTAGAAAGGCAAAGATAGATCAAAGGATGACTGAGGGATGGCATGCTTATCCCTCTGGGCCTTTCAAAGAAAGAATAGGTCAAAATGTATATGAAAAGATTGACCGAAATAAACCCCCGGATAAAACAGGTCAGGGACGCCATTCTCACCCCCTGCCTAAGACCAATCTATACGGTCCTGCGCAGGAGGCTCTGAGAATGATGACTGTACAGGGAACAGTGACTAGCAATTCTAAAATGAATGAAGAGGGTGAAGTTCCTCTGATTTCATTTTTGTAATAACTATAACTGGATGGCATGGTTCCTATTTGTAACACATTTATGGACCATGCAGGACGCCCTTACGTGAATGAAATTATGGCAAGGCAACAGACTAAGAATTGGACTAACACAGGAGCTTCAGTGAGACTTACTGACCTATCACTAAGTCTCCCTTCTGGGGCAAAACAATAACATATGAATTTATTAATGGAATTTTTTTTTACTTAATTGCATAATGCTGGAGTCAAGCTAAACACTTCAAAGGTTGCTCACACAAAAGGTAAAATTTTTGGGAGTAGCTATCACAGCTGCCCAATTGAAGAGTGATAGCAATCTTACAAGTCCCCAGACCTTTTAACAAACAATCCTTAAAGAAGTTTTTTGGGACTTGTAAATTTCTCAAAGGAATTTGACACATGCCCTATTTGTATCCATAGTGACATTGCTTATGCCACCAGATCAAACTATCTGTCCAAATGGAATCTTGGGAAACTAAAGCACCCCCTCCAGTCAGCAGTAAACACTCATTCAAAGGTACAATTGAATTTGTTAGCAAAGGAGGCTGTCTTAGATGGAGATCAATGGCATTTACATGTAAAAGACCCTGAGATACAGCAAGCATGGGAGGAGCACTTCACATGCAAAGAACTAATTACTGATAGCCAAGATTGTTGATAAAGGTTCAGAAGTGCCAGATTTAAAAGCAGAACTGAATAGGAATTCTAATCTTTCTCTTTTATTACAGAACCATCAAACACTTCAAAGTAGTTATTCTATAAAAGAAGGGTTGTTATGTTAAAGTATATCCATGCCCTAAGCAACAAAGGCCTATGCATCAGAGAGTGCCAGTTGCAGACAGCCCCTGGAAGTCAATACAGAATGATTTCATAGGTGCACTTACACTGTCCAAGGGGGGTCTCATATATGGCCCCAACAAATTGTAAAATTGTAAAATTGTATCTACTCCTCAAACTCTGTTTGAGAAAGGGGGGGTAGGCGTAATAAAGATTAAACATTTTATCAAAATTATCCCTGGGATGCAAATTGGGAAGAGCCCTATGTAATCCTATAAGTCAGTACATGCTGACCAATGTAAAATATATAAAGGGGCTTGTTCCCCAGATGCAGAGTTATCTGCTAAGAACTGATACGCCTTCTTGATCTCTTACAGATTTTTCCAAAAGTACCGAGACATGGATGTCACTCAACATGTTAAAACTCACCTGGAAAGTGATGGAACAGCTTGTCACAGGCCAAAGCAACAACAGCTGTATCTATGCACAGGCAGCTCGATCTACCAAAGACTTAACAGAGGACAGCAGTGACAATCTACAAGTTCCATATGTAGATGTGACATTTAATTTTGGGTGGGCGGTCAAGATTGTTTGGCTAAAGCAACGTGATTCTTTCAAGGGATTTTGGAAAAGACAATAAGGGAAATTAAGAACATTGGGAATGTATATGGACTGGCTGAGGAAAATGGGAATGTATATGGACTGGCTGAGGAAAATGGGAATGTATATGGGCTGGTTGAGGAAAATGGGAATGAATATGGACTGGTTGGGGAAAATTGGTTGTAGATAGGAGGGAGGAAATATTAATATGAAATGAAATGTTATGAAATGTTACTAACTCTAGTTATAATGTTAACAGCAATCTTAGAGAGTATCATATAACACGAATTATAGTGGATACATTAATCTTAAAGGGGATAAATTGGGGAACAGTAAGACACAATAAGGGTGGGGAAGTGAAGGTCTTGTTGAATGTAGAGGAAGAGATAGAGCCTATAATCCTGACTCCTCCTTTCACCTATATTCATACAACTCCTTCACTAATGGATAATGGGAGCAGACCTGAGTGTCAGAGGATTAGAGTGGTCTCTAGTGGTAATTTCCCAATATGTATACTGAGACCTACCCCTATAGTCAGGAATATTACTTTCCAATTGATTCGACTAACAGATTGGCTAGTTTCATCACACTTTCAGAACTGTTCTAGGGTCACATCCACTATTAATAAGGTTTTAGTCAGATGGGTGACAAGAAGTAGAACTAGGAATAGGAGGGTTGTCTTGGGTACGGTTCTGGGAGGTGTGGGTACTGGGTTGGGTTTTGTAAATATAATTGATATATATAGTATGACTGCAACACTCCAGTCTGAAGGTATTAAATTCAGAGAACTATCAATACTTTAATGGAGGATTGGACACAGAAGGATCAACAAACCTGTGCTGAGTTCTTTCATCAACAACAAGAACTTTAACTAACTGAACATTTATTTACTGACATGGCTAGTACTACCTGGTGGAAGAAATAAAAAAAAAACTCACTTCCGAAACCAATCATCATGGGGTACTGCCATGGAAAATGTATTAATTCACCCATTTATTATTGTATTGTGTGTTTTCTATAGTATGCATTTTTAATCAGGTTGGTATGTGTTGTTACTTGAAGTCATTGATTGTTAGAGTATATCATCTCCAATATGATATGTAAATGGAAGAGCTCTATTGTGACAATGGGTTGTGCATTCACATAAGTAGATACACTGCAGGATGCATTATCTCTCTCTCTTATCTCTGGTGGGTTTTATAGAGTCTAAGTGTCTCATCCACTTCATTGCCAATAGGAGGGATGTAATAAGTGGGGGGATGTGATTAACAGCCAAACTGTATGCCAATGAAGTGTTATTGTGTTCTAATACAGGGATTCAAGCCCCCATTCTACCCTTAGGCAATAATGGAGTCCTCTGTGTAGCACATGGCCTTTCACCAGGCAAAATCAGTTGGTTTGTTGATAAACTCCTCCTCCATTCCCTTCCAATGCAATACCCCCAGGAGGCACTCTGGTTCTGTTACATCCTAAGGGATTGACTAAGGGAGGTGTGTCCAGCAGAAGGAGGGGCTAACCTGTTTAAAGCCCTGTGAATAGCACATTCTCTCTCTCTTTGAATTACCTCTCTTCACCTTCTCTCTCCTCTCTCCCCTCTCCCAACTATACACACCCTCTCTCTCTTACTCTCAGCTGCTGATCAATGGAGTGGTAACTGTATCACGTGTCTATGCCTGTTTTATTATGTTAATTTAGCCTACTTTCCATTCAGTCAATGATTAGTTTTAGTAGCAACATATACTAGCCTATTTTAAATGTATATGTATTGTTTATTTGTTTGATTAAGCCTTTATTAATAAATATTATTGAATTGCCGAAAGCAAGGAGTGTGGACTCTGACTTTACACTCGGTTTTTAAGTTATTATTTTAAGTTATTATTTTTAGTTATTAATGTTATTATTAATTCCAAGTTTATTCCAACTTGCGAGTTAAACGTTTATTACAGCACTCCAGTGATGTTGCAGCTCTGAAATATGGCCAAACTGGTGGCAAGTGGCATCGTGGCAGCTGCACGCTTGACTTTTCTCAGTTCATGGGCAGTTATTTTGCACCTTGGTTTTTCCACACGCTTCTTGCGACCCTGTTGACTATTTTGAATGAAACGCTTGATTGTTCGATGATCACGCTTCAGAAGCTTTGCAGTTTTAAGAGTGCTGCATCCCTCTGCAAGATATCTCACTATTTTTGACTTTTCTGAGCCTGTCAAGTCATTCTTTTGACCCATTTTGCCAAAGGAAAGGAAGTTGCCTAATAATTATGCACACCTGATATAGGGTGTTGATGTCATTAGACCACACCCCTTCTCATTACAGAGATGCACATCACCTAATATGCTTAATTGGTAGTAGGCTTTCGAGCCTATACAGCTTGGAGTAAGACAACATGCATAAAGAGGATGATGTGGTCAAAATACTCATTTGCCTAATAATTCTGCACTCCCTGTATAAGGAGGGAATATGAAGTTTCCCCTACAAGGAAATCTGGCAAAGCACATGTTAGCCTCCCTTTATGTAATCCCACATCCAGTCTTGTCATTTTAAAGATATCACTTGGATTTATCAATTTCTTGATTAAGGTGCCACTAAACCCCTAATTCAATTACTCCACATCAACTGACTTAACAATTGCAACCTTTTCAATGGAATTTGAGATTAGCTTTGCTACAAACTGCAATTTTGTCTGCATTTAGGCCAACCTCGTTATCGTACGAATTCCTGAACTCCGAGCCAAAATGTAGACAAATCACGAACCAAATAAACGCGCAATGATTGAGGATGTTTGTTTTTATTTGTGAGGCGGAATTTCACCAAAAAAAGATGATTAATGGGAAATGTAATGGCACCCCCAAGCATAAAAGGGGTTAAAGGCCGTTTAGGAGATATTCCCTTCCAGATATACAGGCAGCTACTGTAGACACCAATCCACCAAACCGGAGAAGCATACGAATGCTCTCAAACATACGAATGCTGTAAACAGCCGAATAGGAAAAACCATACGAAAGGTTTACACTCCTAGCAGTCGAACTGGAACAGCATTCAATAAATACCCCCCCAAGAACGAGACAAAGCTCCGTGTTGAGGGTCAAGCAGTGAACAGGTACATTCAACATATCCCCAGATAGCTCAGATCTGAGCGCACATTATTACTGAATGGCGCTCAGAGCACACGCATACAGTTCAATTGCCATGGAGCCAAAGTCTTTCCCATAGTCTTTCATTATACAAATGGGCTCCATGGCATAGCTATCTGTGGTATCACCGCTCAAACAGGGCAAGCACCGAATGACCCAGCTTTTGTGTCTTTGCAGGGGAAAATCAAGCATTTCAACATGGGGCCATAGTCTAAAGGCAGCAGGCGGGGAACCTGGCTCCTCCAATGCACAGTGGCGAGATTGGTCTCGTCACAGGAAATATTTTTTTAAAATATAATACATAAATATAGATTTGTTTTTTACCATTTGTACTCTTTTTCCCCTTGTTGATAACTTTTTCTCACTTGATCAAATAGTGGGAAAATGCACATATCAGTGTACTGCTAAATAGATACATAATATTATGTATATTTATGGTAGTATACCGTTTAGTCCTTTTGGTTCATCTAATTCATTCTCCCAAATCTTTTTTTTTATTAACAATATTCAGATGAGCCAAACTGCCATATAGGCGGAATTCATCTGTCCAACATTTTTTTTCTCATTTTTGGCCAAAGTGGTTCAGCTGAAACATTTTTTTTACAGTGCACACGTCTCATCATCATAAACTCTCCTGAAAACCATCTGTCTAAAATTTATACCATGTGTAGCCACACTCAAAATCTCTTGGTCTGCTTTTGTGTGTCAAACCGAATACATTTTACTTATCTAGTGCTGAGGAATTTATTTATAATTTATTTATTTATAAAATATTTTACCAGGAAGGATACATTGAGATTTCTCGTTTTCAAGTATGTCCTGGGTCCGCAAAAAATAATATAAATATATAATATTAATTTCTATATTGTGTATCCAGCAAAGATGTTTCACCATCTAAGGGAGGTCGTCAAAATGGAGACTTAATTATTATTACAGTATATTTGAGAACAAAGCAAGAATTTTTTTTTAATGAAGTTTCACTTTGAAGTGGAGATTATCATTACCAATAGAAACGAAGGAAGCTGAATGACATTACTTTGAGTTCTTGAGAAGCACAATAGAAAGATGCACTGTTTGATATGGCGTCCATGTATACTGAAAAGTTTTTAATGGGAACATTGTGTAAGTGAGCATCCCTGTAGATCAAGTTATTGTATAAGGAACTTTCATATTATAAGAAAATCAGCACGTTATTAGAGTGAATCTTTCTAAAAAAAGAAAAATGCCAAAACAAAAGGTCATATTCTGGAGATGGAGAGATGAGGTTTCTGCGTAGAGGCCCTTGGCTTTTTAATGTAAGAGAATCAAATATATAATAACATTAATAATAATGATATGATATTAATAATATAAAAGTTAATGATAATTGAGGAATTCACTCCCAACATAAAAACTGTAATGATTTTTAAGAGAGTGAAATTCTTAAAAATCATTATGGTCCTCCTCAGTCATGCTTTTTGAGAACTAATTTAAAAAAAGTCATTACTGCAAAAATTAAAAGTAAAAAATAATTTTTATATAATATGTTATTATAACAAGTACATCAAAAACATGTTAAAAAGTCAAATAAAATATGAGTTGGAAAGATAAAGGCTAATAATCTATATTGACTTCGAAAGTCTTCAATCGTCATTTATGAGTATTTGAAAAGGTTAAACTCAACGGACATTGTATTTTATTTTTTAAACTAACTGACTACAAGCTTTATACCAATGAAGGGGCAAATTATAAATTCTGCATATATTAGAGCAGGGATAGGCAACCTTCGGCACTCCACATGCTGTGGACTACATCCCCCATAATGCTCTTACACTCATAATGCTGGCAAAGAATCATGGGAGGTGTAGTCCAAAACATCTGGAGTGCCGAAGGTTGCCTATGCCTGTATTAGAGAATAGAGACTGCAGTTGTAATTCAGGTATTAAAGAGTCAGAATATGATTCAAACTGTACCCAATTTTTTTTTTATTTTTTTTTTATAAATTCTCCAGCCTCCTGTGTTTCTGTTTATTGGTCTAAGATGAGATTACAGTTTGTGAAAATATTGTTACTATTCCAGAGTTCAATAGGAGAACTCTTCACTCTGAAAATGTCACTTACGTTGCTCTCCAAATGTCCGCATCCCAAAAGTCCTCCGACATACAGGACCTACTACTAGGTTCTTGTGCTGATACGGTTAAAGCTTTGTTTACTAAAAAGTCAAACCATTCAGTGATTTTCAGACACACTGTAGTATTTGCAAAGAGCTATCATCTGTGAAATGGAAGTGCTAGCTGTAAGCAAAGACCGTATTTTGCGCCTAGAAGAAACTGCCTTTAAAAGGTCAACCGTCTAGCAATGGGATAAAATTTGAAACAACTTGGGATGCTCTACGACACAAGTTCCGGGTAAAATTGAAAAACAGAACAGAGAAATGGGTTGACGCAATGCCCGTTTTCTAACGATCATTAAAATGCAATTAGCTAAAGGGGACATCACAGTGAAATAGACTCGCTACAAGATAATGATGACATTGTCTGCTGACTGGTACAAGGGAAAGCTGTGAGGCAACCTTTTCCAAGTAGGGCACTTTCTAGAAGATAAATGAACACTTTGGAGATTGAAGCATGAACGAATTTACCTAGTCATATGAAGTCCCATATATACATCACAGCAGCAACAGTTTCTCTCTTCTCAACCTAGAGGCCTGATCGAGTTATACCAAACAGCAATTTTGTATATGCCATATTGAATATAAGCTACACTGAGAACAACCAAATATCTAAATATGCTGAGATACTACTTCTAGTGGGCACTTCTGGTACCATAACCACTACAGCGGCTTGTAGTGGTTTTCGTGTTTGGTGTGCTTCTTTAATTGCATAGCTCATATTTATTTACATAGAAACATAGAAACATAGAATGTGACGGCAGATAAGAACCATTCGGCCCATCTAGTCTGCCCAATTTTCTAAATACTTTCATTAGTCCCTGACCTTATCGCATAGTTAGGATAGCCTAATGCCTATCCCACGCATAGAAACGACATGTTTCGGGATCGGATAAAAAAAATTTTGTTTGGAAATTTAAAACCTGCTATTATATTTAGTTAAACTATTATTTTCTTTGTCCATCCACTTCCTTAAAACGAAGCTACGGATACATTCGCACGTGGTCCCCTAAGACATGTATGAATAGTGGGTTCTCTTGTACATTTGTAGCAGCTAAAAAATAGAAACCCCTGTTTCATTTTCATTAAAATATCATTATCTGGAGCAAGCAACCCTCAGGGACTCAGTGAGCGATTCTTTCCTTGCAGAATGCATTTCTAAACCTTGCAAATCCATTTTTCATTGGACTTTTACATCCATATTAGGAGCATTCATCACGCCTGACTTGGTGTTCTTCATCTATTTTTTATGATGTTATTTAATCATACATAGGAAAGGGTGCTGGAGAGCTGCAGGTATCTGCTAACATTGTCATTCTGGGTGCTGTTACGCTAGAGCACTCTTTGGTTCTTTCAGATAAATGCAGAATAAAGCAGAATATGCTTATATACAGAAACACATGCAAAAAGGTACAACA